ATTCTATACTCTGCTTCACTGTTCGCTGTTTGTCGTTGATATTTGTTTGGTCAATGGCAACTTAAGAACCCCACTACCCTTCCTCACGGACATCGATGGCGCCATCAACGCAATTAAACATGTCTTACATCACGAACACTTTTGTCTAGTGGCTGTATTACATTGACGGGTCATGCAAGTGCTGGAGTAACATTCTTATCTGAAGCTGGATGTCCTAACATGTTCCCATTGGACGCGGCATCTGATGCTAAAGCCGAGATGGCTTGAGAGCAAGGGTTAAGACTCTTAAGTTGAACTCGCCGGTATTTTGAATCAGGATTTCTGGTAAATCTCTTACTCAATAGTTCATGAGTGTTTATTGCAGCTAGTAGTTACTGAATATACAGCACCTGCAACAAAACCCTATGTTTACAGGTCTTCCACGGTGGCAGCGTCGTTCATGGAAATCCGGTTCCGCTCAGCGACGACGTGATGCAAGTCCATTCTCACAATCCGCTGACACTCGCAACAACTACGATGCCGGGCTCGAACAAATCACCTTAAGCCAGCAATTGGTAGGACAAAAATCACGCGCAGCACAGTGTGCGAGGTAACACGAGTCCTTCAAACACTATCCAATTTCCATTCTACCGTACCGTACACTACGGTATTCTACCGACCGAATGTCGGTGCAAGTTGTGAAAGAATAAATCATTGCTTTTCTGGCTTCGCTTGGTTTGTCCAATCTCTGCTGGCCGTGATTTTGTGGTACAAGCTGGAGCTTGTACGCTCGCGAGATTTCAGGGTGAATACGGTCTCACCACAATAAAGACGCTTTGATCGGGTTACAATCCACGCGCTCAGGAATCTGCGTTAATCCCCCAGCCCACTGGTCCATGTCCCGAAGCCGAAATCGAGGTAGGTTGTGGCTTGAAAGGCGTTCCTAAAATCAGCTGCAAATGAAGTTTTGATCGGACGGTTGTAAGTGCAAATTACAACTTTTATTATTGAAGACATCTCTGCGTTGCACTATGTTTGTGCGTTGAGTATCACGATGGAAATATCTTCCAACTTCTCGGATATTTATTTTCTTCTATTCGTTGGTTACTGGTATTTAAAGATGCTTCAATAGCTATGATCGGGGCAAAAATATAGTCTATTCTGACCCAATGTTGGCTTCTCTTGAATCTTGACTCCCGATTGGTCGGTTCTCGGTAAAACCAAGTCGGCGACCCGGCAGCCAAACTACAAGAGCATTAGAGATCTACCGAAGAACGCAGGGTTAATTCAGCCTCACCGCTGGCTACACTCCAACAAAATCATATCCATTGGAAGGAGATTCGAGATGAACCAGGGGTGAACTAGGCTACCGTTATTACATGATAAATCCCCATAACACGGGGAATTTCAGCTGTGTTTAAATTCTCCCGTGTCGATCTTCTCTCTTTTTACGATACCGTACCGTATCTAAAGTGAAGTCACTGATTGATGAATAAAGGAAAGGGACCCACGGGAGGTGGGGGCACGGCTAGAGCTTTATCCAACACCAACCATTTGGTGCAATTTGCTTCTTTTTTTTTCCTACGATTTTTCACTGGGTCATCCTTGTAGAGGGTTTAAGGCGCGAAATCTGGGCCGTAACTAAAATGTAAGCTCGGACTGCTGGGAGTCTGGGAGGGCATATCGCAAGAGAGAGGAAGCTGGATTATATTAGGGAACCCACCCCCGAGCCCAGTGCCTTTCCTCTCACTCCTCCTTTACCTAGGGATCGAAGCAAATTTTCTAGACTCACCTTTGATCATCCGGTGCAACAATGGCCGCAAGAAAGTCTCGTCGTCAGAATTATCGTTACTTCGACCTCTCCCTACTACAATCTCGTCGTTCGACCAAAAGACCACCGCTCAATGCAATCTGTGAGATTATTTTTCCACGGGATATACACTCATCGATCCTAGGTCACTTGGAAGCGTCACATAAGGATCCCCTCGAGCCTTCATGTGCTACTTGTCTGGCAAGAGATCTCTCATCCTACTCGAAAGTGTGCATGGAATGGCACGCGGCTGCCATACCGCATTTGTTTGTTGCCATAATGTCTCGACACGATATACCGGGGTGAGGTGCTGATAAGTTTCAAATAGATACGGTAAGATATTCATTGCAGGAGCCGATTCACCCGAGCTTAAGAGGCGGATGAAAATGCGGAACGGATGCCGAGCATGGCTTCTCCGAAAGACACTTCTGGTTAGACCTGACTTTGCTGCTATGGTCAAGCAACTGAAGTTCCCTGAGTACCAAGACTTGACGGCCAAAGAGAGCAAGGAAAACGGCAAGTTTATAGTATCAATAGTCCAGTTATGCCCGCACTTGGAAAGGCTGGAGGGGCACTATCCCGAGTATAAAGTTGGCGCAAAGGATAGCATACAGACGGCGCTTCTCTCTCGCGACTTTTTGAAGGAGCATATTTGGACGATTGGGTCCGAGGGACCAATGCAGTTGGCTCAGTCAGAATCGTTCGTGAACGCACACATCCGCTGGACTAAGCTGGAGACATTGATCATGCAAGGAGGTTCCGGGAACAAAGCCGGATCAATGAGCCACCTCACATTCGCGGGCTTATTCGAACGACTCCCCTCGCTGAAGAAGCTACTTGTGGCTCGATTTCACGACTATGAGTTCGACAACAACACCCTCCAAGCCGTGCCAGACCAAATAGAGTATCTACGACTAGAGGAACTCCCTGGCGTAACGGACGCAGGTGTATCAGAATATGTGGAACAAGCCTCCGTGCACTGTAGAATACGCTCGTTATCATTAATAGAACTCGAACTACTCTCCATGCTTCTTATCTCCAAGATATTCTCCCGCCTGGCGCACCTGGAGAAGTTCACACTGGTGCAGACCAGCAGTCCACAGTTACCCCTGGAGTCATCAGCGGACAAGAGCAAGCCGGCGTTTGCATCGACGAGCCTACAACTCCTCCACTGGGACGTACTAATCCCCGGACCAGCCAACGTGCTACTAGCCCGTAGCATCCACTCCTCCGCCTTCCCAGCCCTAAAGGCGGTCCGCGCGCCCTCGGACCACCACGGCGTCATCCAGGCCGTTTGCAAACCCCTCGAGCAGATCGTCCTACCCTTCGACAAGATCGAAGCCCGCCTCTTGCGGGCACAGCAAAAGCAGCGAGAGGACAAATACTTCTACCCAGAAATCCGATACTCCCGCTCACTCCCGCAAGCACGGATAAACGCGCAAGAGCGGATTGAGTCGGCAAGGAAGAGCACATTCATGCGCATCGTGGTGACCGAGGGCTCCGCGAAGAAGGAAGGGCTAAGTGTTGACCTGAAGGCATTCATGGGCGACTGGAAGAGTAAAGTCAAGTACGAGCTCTTACCCGACCTCTGGGGCAGCGAGTTTGCTGTCCTGACGGTTGCGGGCTTGCTCAATGCCCGGGTATCGACAGAGTGGAAACCCGGTGACGGGGTGGAGATGTGCTGTGGTAAATGGAATTCTACGAGCTTTGTTGGTGGGAGAGGGGTCAAGTGGGAGGGACATACTGAGCGGACTCCCGGCATGAGGGATATGGAGTTGGCTATGCTGTTTTAGCCTTTTACTTGTACGCACTATTTCTTTTTTTTTTTTTGTGTGGTTTTCTGGTTGGAGTTTTTGGGCTTTTTTTGGAATTTGGGCGTTATGAAGGTTGAGGCAAGGAGGGGAAATGTTGGTGGGGTTATTATTATCTTAGCAGGATAGGAATATAACATAATTAACTCAATTGAGTAACTAAGAATCTGATGTTAATCAATGCGTGGTATTTTATCCGTGTGATAGGGTATGTTTTCAATGGGCGATAGTGTGATAATTGTATTAAAGTTTTTATGATCTCCTGCTGGGATGAAATCCCCCCCAACTGCTCTTATATTTCCGCCAGGTATTATCATCTAGAACAAAAGCACTGGTATCCAAATTCTACCCCAACTCTCACCTCCCCTCTCTCCCATCTAATCCACTCACTCGAAATCCCCCTTAATAGAGCCCCCGCTGCGTAAACATCCAAGCAAGACTCATCGAAGAAACCACCAACGGTGCGGTCAACCCAGCACCCAACCTATCATTAAATTAGCCCCTTCCCCCCCCCTTCCAAAGGAAGGTAAATACTAACCCAGCACTCCCAAAAACCAACCACTCACTAACAAAGTGCGCCCCGGCAACCGCATAACTCCACATGGCAAGGTCATACACCACCGGCTCGGTAATATGATAAGCAGCGTAGGCGCGCAATATAGCACTGAGAACGGTCCAGGTGCCGAATGTGCGCGACGATAGTCCCGTCACCTCGTGCGGGCGCTTGCAGTATATGCGCTTGTTGAAGCGCAGTGTGGAGTAGGCTTGGAAGGAATTGCCCAGCGCGACGACCGCCACGAAGAGCAGCCATTTCGGCAATAGGCCGGGGGTTTGGGGGAGGTAGGTTGTTAGGGTTTCCATTGTTTTTTATTTTTATTTTTATTTTTTTTGAGAGAGAGGGTTGAAGTTTTGGTGGTGGTGGTAGTGGTGAGTGGTGAGTGGTGGTGGTGAGTTGGTGGGAAGGAAGGAAAGGGGCGGTTGTTGATGGTTGATGAATGGTCAGGGGTGATGTACGGGAGGGAAAAAGAAGCGTATTTGGCGAATTCTGGTTGGGGGAGGGGTTTCTCCCTCTCTCCCTTTTGCTTGGGTCGGTGTCTTCCGGATGGGTGTATAGAAGACACCGTGCCATAATTTAAAACTTTGCTATTGAGAACAATCGGCATAACCCATCTCCGATTCGGAGAACTTATTTATTCCTTTCCCGTACCGGTGCCGCGTTTTCAACAATTAATTGTACCTAGAATATCATATTTGCTTTGCTGATCATTGCTCCTATCATACTTTTGTTTTTATTATCACCTTATCAAGCCCGTTTCTCATGCGACTTTTTCGTGGATAGTCTATGCGATGGAAAAAAAAGAAGACAACGAAACGAGAATGATATGATGGCATAGATCTTGCGACACCGATGGGACTCGAACTCACAGTCTTTGCCACCGGAAAGCAACGCGTTAGCCATTACGCTACGGTGCCCGAGTGAGGATACAGACCTGCTGGCGCAATTGACTCCGTTTGCAAGAGTGATGGTTTGTGTTTTGGGTCTTGTGGCTTGCCCCTCAATACTTCACGATGGTGGGAGTCTACTCGGGGATGTTTGTGTTTGTTTGACGTGCATTAGAGGAATTTGTTTCAATTCTTTTACTTTATAGAGGATGCAAAGTATAGCTTTAGTGAGTGTTTGTTGGGTCACTCGGGGAGGGGTTTTTTCGATGTGTTATGGTTACTCGAATCGTCGAGATATCCACATCGGACTGGTTGTTTCAAGGTTATTACTAAATTACCACATGGCCGACTCTTTAAGCCATAGTAGTAACAAGCATAGGAGAATAACCAAGAACGCTACTCTTTAATTGCCCCAGATTCCTAATTACGGAGTGAATCCAGACTTAGTAATGGAATGATTACGGTAGACACCACAATTTCTCACATCCACAACTCGATGTTACTCTTCCTCACCGATTTGAGGGAAAGCTTTTCCTTGCCCACAATGCCCCGAAGACCGAGAGCGGGAGAGATGCTGGGCTCGCTTTTCGGCGTCATAACTCGATTTGTCCATGGTTTGGCATGAAATCAGCCGGTATGTTAGCCGGGTGTTATCCGATGGAAAGCTGCAGGTTCAGACCAAGACTAAGGTGAGCCCTTCAACGCTTCAACCCCCTATGGTAACAAACATCCCCCCGCCCTCGATTGGGGGCTGAATACAAACTCCTCCTCCTCCCCCTTCTCCTCCCCCTCCTCCTCCTCCCCTCCCTCATCTCCGATAGCCCGCTCATTTCATCTCAGCCCCTCATCTCGAGATTAGCAACAAGCAGAAAGTGGGAGAATGAACGATCGTGAAGTCTTGGACGATATTTCCCACCGTCGGTATAATCCGCTACGGGGATCGTGGATTCTCGTTTCGCCGCATCGTACCAAGCGACCGTGGCAGTAAGAATTGAGATTCTTGTCCCGTGTTTGGGGAGTTTGAGGGACTAATGGGCGTTCAGAGGTCAGAAGGAAACCCCCTCTAAAACTTCGCTCCCGGCTTTCGATTCTTCATGTTATTTGTGTCCTAGAAATGTTCGGGCAGCGGGCGATACCAATCCGGCATACCCAGAAACATTCGTTTTCGTCAATGACTATAGTGCAGTCAAGGAAGAACAGCCGGATTATGTTCAACCAAAATCCGAGGGTAAGTTCACTTTGCAGCGTGCGAGAACGAGATGCAGAGGCTTACCACAGAGGTGATTTCGCCAGACAAGTCCTCCCTCCTCCTACAAGCTACGGGTGTCCGGGGCAAGTGCTACGTAATATGCTTCAACCCGTCCCATAACCTCACCCTTGCAGACTTGCCCGCCGGGGTGATAGTTCCTATCATAAAAACTTGGACAATACTCTACGCATCTCATCTCCCCAAGTCATCCCCATACTACCAGGTACCAGCTGTAGAGATCGGTATCACGACTCCTAGAGACCAGTACACCTACATGCAAATCTTCGAGAACAAGGGTGCTGCAATGGGCTGCTCGAATCCGCATCCCCACGGCCAGGTCTGGACAACTACCGGCATACCCGAGGAACCCGGTCTCGAGATTCAGAATATGAAGGAGTATAAACGCAAGTATGGGACTGGATTGTTGAAGGACTATGTGGATCTTGAGATTACAAAGGAGATCAGGATTGTGGCGCTCAATGGCCATTTTGCCGCTGTGTGCCCTTGGTGGGCGGTATGGCCGTTCGAGACTATGATCATTTGCAGAAGAGAGGTGCATAATCTTCCGGAGTTGACGGAGGAGGAGCAAGAGGGGCTCGCAGAGATGATTTCTATCGTCACGAAGAAGTACGATAATTTGTTTGAGACAAACTTCCCTTACAGTGAGTAGAAGTACTAGGAAAGTGTGAACATGGTTAACTAATCATGAAACACAAGGTATGGGAATACACCAAGCACCACTTGACTGCGACCCTGAAGACCGCGAGGCGTGCCACCTGCATCTGCATTTCACCCCTCCACTGCTTCGTAGTGCTACAGTGAGGAAGTTCCTCGTAGGGTAAGAATCGCCTACCTTCTTACAGTACCGTCATCCGCTAATCGAAGCTATAGATACGAACTCATGGCCGAACCTCAACGCGATATCACCCCAGAACAAGCAGCCGGGAGACTACGGAATCTCAGGGGTGATGAAGTTTACAGGAAAAAACTGATGTATGGTACTGAAGCTTGAACTCTCTATAGGAGCCTTGACTACTGTATTATTTTAAAATTTTTAGGCAGTGTTTCTTTTTTGTATTTATTTTTTTTGGCTAATGAGTTTTCTAGTGTTATGCTGAATCTTCATTACCATTTAGCTTTGCTCTTATAGACTGGTCGGTCGGTGGCGAGTAATAATTGAATTCTTTTTTTTTTTTTTTAATTACTGTGGTGAATTTTGTAATTAGTTTGAATATATCCGGGGTGTTCCATTGCTCTACTAGCGGGAAGATTCTCCTAGTCCTAGTAGTCGATATATATTACTACACTTTAACTTGAAACGCAACTCGGGTATGATACCAGGAAATATTCCTGACGCCGAAGAAGGTGTAGGAGAACGTTCTTGCTAATGTTATGCACGTTGAGCATATCTTCCAATATAGTGATCCGGTATTGATAGGTAGGATGTGGTATCATACATTACTCGAGTACTGTACGATACCGTACACAATCGATACCGTACCGTAAATTACGTCTGTAAGGAACAATACAGGAAAACGGAAATTCACACCAAGAATTCGAAATGCAGGGTAAGTGTGTCATTTGCCATGGTGTTGAAAGCCAAGTTGAACCCGCCACATTGTTACCCGCAATGCTGGAGCATGGGGTTTCTTTTTTCCGCTTCGGCGTAAACCCCCTTCCTCTCTACTCATAAGATCTCTTTTGAAATCTTAATATTTTTTTCGTACTGGTACGTTTACCGTACATTGCGCTAGTGTCTTGTACAATACCGCTTCGATCCTCAAGTTTTAGCGAGCGATATCCAGTGAGTCGTTGACCACATACCAACAAATTCAAACTCGAGTGGAACTCCCTCTCTTCAGCCCCCCTTGTTAGTGGAGGATAAAAATGAAAATGAAAAAAAGAAACAAAATGCAAATGATCCCACAGGCCCACAATTCACGAATCTAGTATGCCAACACTAACTTAATAATGGATGTATCCCGAGCACAATAGTGGAAAGTTTCAATCTTTGGAAAGCCTCAGCTAGCGTGCAGGGACCCACCATAAGACGATCCATCCGTGAATGTGAAGTACACCAGGTGGTGAAATCGAAGTCTTCCTCATGCTTAAATACTTGCCCATTACAAGTTGAGAAAGCAAATCACAAAGAGAACAGAACAGGTAGTCAACATTGAAGCAGAGCTACACTGGAGGGTGCATGCTAAGTCTTCTACTTGCTTCTGCTTCTTTATATCTTTCCATTTCCTACTTGCAGCATAGAAAGGCATGCTTAATGTTTCCAGTATACCCTTTCAATAGGTACAGGCCCCTGCTGGAAGGGGTATAGCAGAGGATGTTTTTGTACTTTGTCATAGATGCAAACTTTTCCTTCTCCACCCAAGCCTTATAAAAGCTGTCAGGGTCATCATCATCGACCAGTTATACTCGAGAAGAGTATTGATAGAGAGGTCAAAATGGATATTCTTTTTCCTCTACTTCTGTTTTCTGTCTTTTCTTAACACCCACTTTCTGCTAGATATCGAGTACATGGTGGTTATGATAATCTGGGAATCAAATGTGTCTGTGTAGTTAGTGTTCTCATCTTTTTTTTTTTTTTTTTTTGGGGAGGGGGGAAATGGAAAGATGGGGAGTGTTGTGCAACAAACCACTATATTCAGTCAGTTTGGGTATACACTTGGGAGGAGGCAGACTCACTGACTTGCTATATTCGATCAAGTAAGCAGGTCTTGTAGAGGGCAGAGTAAAGAGGGTGAGTAGGGAGAGGAGGATTAACAATAGAGGAGGGGGAGAGAGAAGAAGTAGGAATAGCCTTGCCATGCCTGGAAGGTATGCCAAAGACTTTCAAAAAGAGATATGGAAACATTAAGTTGTGAAAACCGTTGAAAAAATAACAGGATTTGTTGGAAAATAGATATGGAAACAAGAAGCAGTTAGGGGGGGAGAAAGAGAGGAAAGGAGGAAAGGTTCCTTATAAAGGGAAGATAAACCTGGCATTTTGGCTGAAAATGTATATAGTTTACTTGCCAGAAGGTTTGAGTATCTGGGGTTTCTCATCTTAGAAAAGTTTACAAAATTGTCAATATATATCCAACCCTCTCTTTAGTAATCCCCACAAGTCTACTGACATATCCCCCAAGTCAGAGTTGAGCTATATTCAAGACTTTTTAAAAAAAATCTTTTTCTTCTTCTATAATCTAGCAATAGTAAGGCCAGGAAAGTCTATGAGATATGGGTATCTCATAGATTACCTTCTTTATGAATCTTAATATCTGGAAAGTCAGGTAGATAGAGTTAGTAAAAAGCGTATTGAGAGTTCTCCTTATGCTGAAAGGTGTTTGAAATGCAGTTAGCTGAGGTGTGCTAAATATTTTGTGATCAGGTAGATGATGATCAATATCTAATCATGGAAGGGATCTATCTAGTATAATAGAGACCTGTTGTGTCCATTGTAGTAGAAGTAGGAAATTTTATTTTAATGCATTTAGTGTGTCTCTAAGTCATTCTCCACTGTAGTTCCACTCGTGTGACTCTGTGTAGCAATGGGTGATAGCTTAGAGGGGGAGCTAATAATGGTGAATGTGGTATTTGCTTCTAGTAATGTAACAGGGGTGTCCTAAGGGAAGATGGATCCTGAGTTTGCAACTGCACTGAAGTGACTCAAGGATCAAAAAGCAATAATCAACAGTAGAGTAAAGCAGAATCAAAACAGTAAAACTTAATATCATTAAGCTGCAGCTTCACTCAGTAAGTTTCTCAAGAGGTAGTTGATTGTCAGAGT